AAGTTGATAGAATTCAATATTGTGTGTTTACTATTATGTTGGTTGAAATTGCCGTTAATTTTTAATTGCCCTTGAATCAGGCAGTGGCAGAAGGATACTTTTGAAATTCATCAAAAATAACACAGTGTGTAATGACCTGATTTGGCATCCATTATTGATACCTGTAAAATAACTTTTAGAAGTTAAATGTAAAATTGCCTGCTCTTTCCTTACCTAAATATTCATGTCAGGTTTCAGATATTCAGTTCTGTACACTTCGTTGAATGCGTCTTGACCTTGGGAAAAAAAGACAGGCTTGGCTAAGCTCAGTGAATTGTTTTGTAGCTCCAAGTAATATCAGGCATAATAGATTGTTCAGTATTGACATCTTCAAATCCTGTTGGTTTTACCTTCAAAATATATCCAGAATCTAACCACTTTCCATCGCCTGAGTATTGTAATAGCCTCCTAACTCTTTTCCCTAACTCTTCCATTGCCCTCTCTCTACCCATTCTCCAAATAGAAATCATCAGATCATGTCACACGTCAGCTCATATCCTTCCAAAAGCTTCCCTTTGCACTTATAGTGAAGGCCATGTCTTACAGAGGCCAACCACCCTCCCCAGCCTTCTCTGACTATGTCGTCTAGTACGCTCCTTGCCACAATCCATTCCTCTAGTCACGCTGGCTTCCTGGATATTCCCAAAAACACCAGACGTCACTTCTCTGATCTTTCCATGATCTGTTCCTCCAGGGAACCCAACGCTCACTCCCTTGCCTCCATTCCTTTTCCCAAATGTCACTTTGTTAATGAGACCTTCTCTGGCAGCCCTTTTAAAAATCGTACATGTATACCAGCACTTCTCATCACCCTTCCCATTTTTATTTGTCTCCATAGTACTTACCACCTTCTGAAATGCTATAAAATGTTCTTACTCATTATCTATCTCCTTCCTCAATATAAATTACATGAATTCAGGGTTGGGTTTTTATTTGTTTGATGCACTTATGTCTCCTCAACACCTAACACATTGCCTGGTATATGGTAACTAATAAATATTTGTTGAATGAAAGAATCTATAGTCAAAATGTTAACCACTTCTTCCTTTGTGTAGCCTTCTAACTACTAACATATGACATACTTATTGGGAAATGTCTTGCCTAGTGGCTTGCATTTAAATGTATTTCATTGAAGGGAGCATGGACCATAGAAGTAGAGCAAGGGCTCTGAAGGTCAAATAGACCTGGGCTTGACTAAGAGCTCCACTACTTACAACCTGTATAACCTGGTGAGCTATATAACCTCCCAGCCCCAGTTTCTTCATCTGTAAAATGGGGATAGTAAAAGTTCTTCTCTCATAGAGTAGTCATAAAATTTTAAACAAAGGAACATAAAACATAATGTTGGGCTTATAATAAAAATTCAGTAAATGTTTGCAATTATTATAAGTATTGTAATTGCCCTTTATTTGCTATTTTTTTTGTAAAGTATTTTACAAATGTTTACTCTTTTGACCAGGAGATTTAACTAAAGATGTGAATTGTTTCCAGTTATTTTTGTACTTTAAAGAATATTATGATGTTTTAAATATTTCTGCTTAAAAATACATTATTTAAAGCTACTATTTTTTGATGCCCTATTAGTATGCCAGACATTGTGCTAGTTATAGTCTAACTATTATCATTGTAAGGGGCCATTACTGTCATTATTATTTTTTTTTTTTTTTCATAAAGGAACAGGCTCAGGATCATGGAGTAAGCATTCAACCCTAGCTTGCTCAGCCTCCAAAGTTTAGACCTTTTCCCCGAGACCACTGGCCTCTCACTTTGAACTTCAGTGCCTTGCCCCAGCGTTCTTGGAAGCACATGGAGTATTTGAGGATTCTAAAAGTGTGGTGTAGCTCAAGTGAGGGTCTTAAAAGGTCTTGAGATTAGAGATGAGGCTGAAAGTCTATATCCCATGCCATACAATGTGGATTTTAACTTATAGGCTCTGGGAAGACATCAAAGGTATTAAACTTGGGAGTAAGTTTTCAGAGAAGTGAAAAATGATAGAATTTTCAAGGATTGGCTCATGTCATTGACCACAGTTCAATGACTGTAACCACATTAAGAATAATGGATTTTTTTTTAGATTGGGAAAAATCAGTATAAATTAAAGCCACATTAAATAGGAGTTTGGTCTATCTTAGGCAAAGGCTCTTTAAAAAAAATTGTAAGTACCATTACATTCCCCACAGTGTCTAATAATGTGGTCTCTTAAAAATTATATTGCTCACCCATTTCAAAGTGTTGTATAAGGTAAGTGCAGATAGGGCAATATTTTTTACAATGATGGTATGCCACTGGAATTTAGAATAGCAAAAGACTGAGTAGTGGCTCCAGGAGCCACTGTTATTTTGGTCACACTGTTATTTTGGTCTCTGTTGCTTTAACACCTTTATTTCAATAGAAAAGAGTGACTGAGAAAGTAAGTAATGTGATGATAGATGGCTGATACTGGTTTGCCTAGGAATGGTATTGAGAAATAATCAACTAAGAAAATAGGGATAGCCACGGCCTCATGGGCATAAGGTTTGATAAATGTATTAGTTTCTTAACAAGATATGGAAGGTGTTAAACATTAAGAACAGAGTTTGTTTCTTTAAGATCTTTCAGCCAATCACTGACTCTGGATCTTTTTTAGGTCAGCAAATGAAGATATAGTGACAAAGAAAGTGGTGATTTAAGAGACTTTCCATGGGGTTGGTTAAAAATATTGGAAACTTCTTACATGATTGAATATAATTCCTGTGAAAAAAATCAAGTAAAGATTTTCAACCTCTGCTGGTAGAAGTTTGCAGTACAGTTTTTCCCCCCATAGATATTGGTCTCTGGAGTAAGTTCTTGTGTTTTGCTATTGGAGAAGGTGGTGCAATTTTGACAGAATCTGTTACACATTGTTGATTACTTGATGACCAGTAAAACCAAGTCAGTTGAAATGGAGTAATGATTGAAGTAAAAGCAAGTGAAAATGGGAAAACAAAAATAATAAAAAGTGCTATATGTATATAGTCTTTTCTTCACTAAATAAGATTAACGTGAATGTACATGTATGGATGTATGAGGAAAATTGAAAGAAGGTGCAAGAAAGAGTGAGAGTTACACTTGTCTTTTAAGTAAATCTTTCCACAGCTAATCATTTAATCTAAAGCTCTGTCTAAAGTGAAAGTGAAGTAGTTACTCTTTTGACATGGAATTCTATCATAAATATGGCTTTACTTTTCTGTCTCATCATTATAACAGATATGTTTTATCTCTCCAACACTTTTTATAAACTAATTGAGGTTGTAGTTTATGTCCTCTGTTCTTTTGTTCATAACATAGTACTCAGCACAACAATAGGTAGAACGAAGATGATTAATATGAGCATTAAGAATAAGTAAAGTTTTGAAAACTGAGTCAACTTTTTATGCTCGTGTCTGAATTCTATGGAAGAAAATAAAGTTGTTGATGTGGCAAATCAAACATGTTATGATGTGTTTTAACAAACAAAATATTCTCTTTTTAATATTTCCTTCCACGGTGTGTGTGAGTTGTAAGTGAGGATGGGGGCAGGTAGGGCAATAGGAATGAAGGTGGGGGAAAAAATGATAACACAGATCCTAAACGAGACTGGTAAAATTTTCATCAGACCTCAAAGATGTGCTTTTCTCTATTCTTTATTGGGAAAATTATTCCCAAGACCAAAAATTGAGAAGACTACCATAATGTTAAATTATGTAATTATCCTGGAGTATATTAGGCCACTGAACTAACACACGCATATTATCTATTTTTAAAAATAAAATTAATAAAAAGGTGAGTCAAAATTTGTACAGCACATTCTAAAAGTTAAAATGTGGTAAGTAAATACACTGCTGTGTGGGAATACATAGCTTATCTGTCACTGATAGCTAATGAATTCCTTTCTATTAAAATTTAATTGAAAATCTTCAATGATATTTAAGCTTTCACAGAAGTGTAAACTACTGTGACTACAATTCACAATGCATTTAAAACAATTATTCTTTATCATTAAAGTTAATAATATGCACATTAACCTCTTATGTAGTCTAAATCAATATTGTAGTTTAAAAGATATGACCTCTGGACAGCTTTGTCTAAATATTGATTTCATTGTCATTTGTATAAGATATCAAACAAATCGCGTGCTGCTCTAATATCACTAATGCTGCCCCTGTAGAGCCTCTGACTTTACGGGTTCTTATAATATAGGACATGTCATTCCAAAATATTGAGGACATCACAAAATATAATTGCTGAATGGACGAGATTTGACTATGGCAGAACTGAGTTGCTGTAAACAGATGATAACTTCCAAAGCATTTACTCTCAATGGACAATAAAAAGACTGCTCTTTAACATGCAGATTGGTTGTTGAGGTTGTTTCAAATGGCAGAAATTTTTCTGCCGCAGAGGGTCTAATTTACCTTTTTGTGATGGCTTAGATATTTCAGAAGAGAATCTTAAGTCAGATTAAAATGTAGTAATTCTGCAATATAGCAGTTTTCCCAAAATCAACTTGCTTAGAAATTTCTGTTAAAAGTTACTAGTGAGTCAGATGAGTTGGAAAATATATGTTTTTAAAAGTAAAGGGGCTGAACCTTTCAAATGACCATTATTGAATTTAATAAAAAGTGATTTAGGGATGGACATGCATCACATGCTCCTCATAATTGCCAGTTATATTATTATTTTTGTAAAAAAAATCACAAATTGAAATACCAGCTATATAATTTGCTTTCTTTCACTTTTCTGCGGTTCTGAATTTCAATGAATCACAATGATTGTTAACATCATCCAGTTGCAGCTAACTCTATTTTAATGTTGTTTTTTTGTTTTGTTTTGTTTTTAATTTTGAAACTGTAGTTCACTTTTCTTCTGTAAAGCATTTTAGGAAAGAGAGATGCTCATGATCATGACACCCTGAGCTATGGGTGCAATTTATACTAAAAACGTTCCCCCCAAATCTCTTATAGGTAAAAGCGACCCATTTTGTGTAGTTGAACTGAACAATGATAGGCTGCTAACACATACCGTATACAAAAATCTGAATCCTGAGTGGAACAAAGTCTTCACGTTGTAAGTAGTAATTACCTTGCGCTCACTTCAAAAATGGTGCTAAATGCTAGTATTTTTGAGATTTTGTGTGTATGTTTATTCTTAACTGGTTAACAACTCAATGCATCTGGGCTGCCTTGTGCTAGCAACAATAAATATTATAATTGCGTTACCTTCCTGATAGTGAAACCTGGAGAAAGGGCAGACCATATATTTTTGTTTTCACAGATATATATATATATATTTTTTAAACGGTGCTTTCTATATGATTTGACTAAGGATTTTGCTCCCATGAACTGATTTGCCATACTGCTTCTTCCTTTTATACTTTCTATTGAAATTCTCCCCAATTGCATTGACACCAAGGAAGACAAAGCTCTATTTGTTCCATTGCTCAAATCAGCAAACAATCTGGTCTCGAATTCAGCAGATGCTTTAGTTTTGGTTTGTTGCATTTTTGTACAATAAGAATATTAAGTATTGTCCTAGCTACCAAAACGACCTATGAGTTAATGTTCCTCTTGTTTAAAAAAGTTTGTAAACCATTTTGATCATGCACTGTAAAAGCTGCCAATGCTACACTATAGTTATCTCCTAAATTCGTTTTTTTTCTTTCTTTTTGTTTTTTAACTGAGCTTTAGTAATGAACTCTGAACAAAGGAAAATTCCAAACAGATGTGATTCTTAAAAGTTTTCTGGCATAGTTTTTTTGTGTGTATGAAAAACTACTAAATTCCTCATTAATTTCTTATAATGTCTCTGCTTAAGAGACAGATAACTAATCAGATTTAATTATCTGACCAATTTATCTTTAAGGAATTCCACATTTTTATAAGAGATGAAAGCCTGGTCAGGAGACTTGCACTCCTAAGAAGGCTGTGGAGAGTGTTTTCCTCTGGAATGTATAATTGAAAGAATAGGTTTGATTTATTATCAAAGCCATTAATTGATTGTGCCCTGATAAAGCCTCTTCTCACATGTGGTTGCAGTCTTTCAGTAATGAATATATTCACTTTTTTGTCTTCTCTTAATTCATGTTTTCTTGGTAAACAGTTTGATCAAAGAATAAATCCTGTCAACAATTGGGGCTTATTTTTCCAGAAACAAAAATATGAAGAGCTTTCACAGTTGTTTATTATCGTATGTTGTCTTTGGAACATAATGGAACACTACTTAATTTCTAAATCCAGGGTGGTACAGTAGCTATCAATGTTACATTTTCTCCATTCTGTTTTCTGTGTTAGTTAATTTTTACTATAAATCCAACAAGAAATAAGTCAATGTTTTCATGAGAGCTGTAAACAAAAAGGAGATATCCTATTACATAAAAAAGAAAAATTATATTAAATATATTGTGACTTGCTGATATCAAATCTAATGATGTATTCTGTGGGAGTAATAGGAAGATAGGAATTATTGTGATAATGAGAAGAAAGGAAAGTCTAAAAAATATCAGTGCCACTTATTGGGCTTTTTTTTTTTTAATTTTACAATAACTTATTCTGTTATGGTACAGAATGGAACTTTTCCATACAGATGGGAAATTATATTTCATTAAAAAATTATAACTTGAAATTATGATGGTGTTCAAAGTTCCAATTATAGAACCATCACTGTAGTCTACTAAGGTGCATTGTGGGAAATTGTCAGATACCAAGTTACCTTGTGTATGTATATATGCAAATAGCATACGTAAAAACACATACACACAAGATCAGCTGGAGCTATCTAAATTTTCAAAAGCATTTTTGTTCTTATTCCCCACTGATGAAGTCTTTTTTTTTTCTTACATATGTTTATTATGCAGCAACATTAAAGATATCCATTCAGTTCTTGAAGTGACAGTTTATGATGAAGATCGGGATCGAAGTGCTGACTTTCTGGGCAAAGTTGCTATACCATTGCTGTCTGTAAGTTTTATTCACCTGACACACTGCCCTGTGTTGCTTTTGCGCAAGGAAAAAAAAAAAAAAGAAAAACCCTCAGCTCTATATCTGTCATTTCTCAACCAAGGTCTGTAATAAGAACACTAAAAATTTTAACATACTCAATTCACGGCCATGTTGAATCCCATGATAGTTAATTTTTCTTGACAGACTTGATCCTGGTAATGAACAGGTACTTGTCAGAATTGCCACAGTTGTTTTGGGTTCTCTGTCAGTTTCAGCAGCTGGGGGTCAAAGGTCACTGTGGGAGTGTATTCAGTGGAGACCGCGAGACAGACGGCTGTCATGTCCTTTTCCCGCAGATTCAAAATGGTGAACAGAAAGCCTACGTCTTGAAAAACAAGCAGCTGACAGGGCCAACAAAAGGGGTCATCTATCTTGAAATAGATGTGATTTTTAATGCTGTAAGTCTTAACTTTGGCTTTTTTGTACTGCTAAAGAGTTCAGTTTCATGAAAGCTTTTGTTCCTGATTTGTAGAGAATTTCTGTCATTCCTCATTTTCTCTAAACCTTGATGTATCCTGGAGAATACGCTTCTGCCACTGCCTGGCACACCCACACTTTCTGTTATAGTTGGCGGCTGCCGCTGCGGCTGTGCTCTGGCCACTGCCTGCCTGCGTAAGAAATGGAGGCGCATGCATGTGCAACTGTATACATTTATATTTTATGAGCACAGCAGCCAGGACTTTGAAACTTTAGAAATTATTGCAAATTGAACTGCATGAAAAACTTGTAAACATATGTAATATATTAATCCATAACAGACACATATGTTGATGTATAGGTGAAAGCCAGCTTACGAACATTAATACCCAAAGAACAGAAGTACATTGAAGAGGAAAACAGACTCTCTAAACAGGTAAAAAAGCAAGGAAAGATTAATCCCTCTGGGAAGACCTGATTATATCTGTAAAACATCTAAGTTAATTCAAATAAACTTTGGAGGTATGGAGGGGGGAAGACTATGAAATTTTGGATCTACTAATGTGAAATGGCTTTCTTTTTTTCTGTCTTTTTCTCTCTTCCCTTCCTTTCCTTAAATGATCAAACAAGGACAATACCAAACTAATAAATTGAATGGGGGTGGTCAGAAAAGAAAGGGAATACTGTAGACGCTGCCTAGAATGGATATGTATTCATGCGTTAGCAAAAGAGTGATCATTTTGAACATAAAATACAATTTGATTGCCATGGAATGTGTAAATGAGAACACCACAAGCTGAGGTTCAAATATATGTCCAGACCACCCACAGGTATGATGCAGGTGTGTGTAAAACGAGCCCAGCATAAAGCAATTCCCTCTAATCCACAAGAAAGGGGGCTCCATCTTTTAAGGGAAACCTTCTTAATTAGATTTTGACTATGATCTTTTAGAAGTGAACTTTTATTGGCATTTTTAGCTAAGAAAATAGAAAATCAGGAACTCTGATTTTTCTGTCATGAAGGAATTTTAAATTAGGCTTGATATCTTGTGATTAGACTTGTAGTTTTAAATTAGGTTTACATCAAGTTAAGGGTACTAAGCTACCCCTTTAAAAATGTTTACTTCTAATTAACACAGCTAAAATAAAATGTATTTTTTATGATTATAAAGTTTACAGAACTCATTTGTGTATGTTAAAATATTTCATAATTTTTTTGTGCTGCTGCAAGACTAAAAATATTTTTATTTTTAATCCAACCAATCCACCATAAACAGTGAGATTTTGATTGTTTAAAGGCAGTGCATGAGTTGCTAATGCAATAGTTATCTAAATAGAAATACAGATTACATTTTTCCACAATTAATAGATAAAAATAATAAAAATAGCTCTTAAAGGAAGTGGTCAGAGACCAAATAGGAAAACAAATAGGGAGGCTGTTAACTTTGCCTGAAAGGAATTTCAATTTTAACAACTTATTAAAGCTGGTATGCATATACTTGTATCTATATTTACACATATATATTTTTCCCATATGACCTTAGTAAACTTTACATAGCTCCTTCTTTAAAATACCAGATCAGCACTGAAGTATATTTGGAAGTAACAAAATATTAACTTGCAGACATATTATTCTAATTATTAAAATAGCTGTGGGTCATTTTTTTTAACCATCATCTAGCGTATAGACTATTCTTTTTATAGTTGTAGTCATGTCTTAGTTTCAATTAAGTTTAAATTATATCAATTCTCATATACATCTTTTAGTAAAACATTTTGTAAAGCACTTGGTTACCATACATTTTTTCCTAACAGCAAAATTATGAAAAAATGAGAAAATATAGGTTAAATTTATTGTAGGAAAGAGAAAGATCAAGATGGAAGGGGGAGAATAAAGAGAGGGAGAAAGAGAGTGAGAGAGAGAGAGAGAGAGGGAATGAGAATATGATTGTTAAGAAAGGGAGAATCCTAAAATGGTGAAAAAAATGCTTTTTATAATAAATCAATTCTTGACAGGTTTTTCACTAAGACTCTAAATAAAACATTCCATGTTGTCCATTTCACTTTGAAATATCTTGAAATTAAAGCATTTAAAGAATCTTAAAACCTGAGTTAAAAAAATACATTTAAGGTTCACATTATGTAGGTAGCAAAAAAAGAAGTTTTAATCCTTTGGAATTTTTTTTCTTTTGAACAAAGGTAGCCCAACCTACCTGATAATATTATTTAAGAAAATATATTTAGCTAAGAAATTGCTCTTTTAATTCAGTTTCTTCCACTTTCTCCTGAGATACTTCTTTTCCTTTAACTTGTGAGCCAACTTGCTTGGTGTATTCTTACTAGTTTATTCACTTTCTGAATCCTTTTTAAATCACACTAAGCTTGAAGAATTTTGTAACATATCTGATGGCTTTTAGTTCTGCAAATTCTAATGATATTTCATTTTCCTTACAGCTGCTACTAAGAAACTTTATCAGGACGAAGCGTTGTGTCATGGTGCTTGTAAATGCTGCATACTACGTTAACAGTTGCTTTGATTGGGACTCACCCCCAAGGAGCCTTGCTGCTTTTGTGGTACGATCATACTGTATTACTTACATTGTTATTCATTAAATTCAGTAATCATAGCTGCGAGTTTCTGTGGCTATAGTAACAGTTATGTTGATGTGGCCATTTAAAAACTCCTATTTTAAAACTTGACTGGACAGATTTGCCGTGGGCAGGAACCTGATGGATTGTTCAAGGTCTGAGTCCAAGAATACATCCCTCCCCCCCCACCAGACTTCCGGAATGCAAAATATCTCTGCCAATGTATAATTTTCTCCATGACAGTTAAAAAGTAAAATTTTATATATTACATAATCCCAAATCCCAACAACAGAGCCAAGAAAAATCAGTGTTAAAAAATTAATAATCTTGACCATTCTCATTTTAATTGTATTCATTTAATTGTTTAGTATTTTTTTTTCTTTTTTAAATGAAAATCATTGGCAGTAGAATACTAGCTGGAGATACTTTAATATGTGAATCAATTGGAAGTGGATGTGACCTATTTAAGAGGTATTTTATTATTTCTGAGATTTTCCAGTTTTTAAAAAGGCACAAGTGAGAATTTGATAGATCCAAATAGTCCTCTAACAATGTTCATCTTGTAGCCTTTTACTTTGGTTATTTAAAAACTGCTGAGGAGACCAACTTGCAAAGCTAGAAAATCCGAAATAATACTTTCCTCTGAGCTTTAGCTGGAATTTTCTGCTTTCACATTATTTTTGCTTGTTCAGGATTTCAGTTTGAAGTTTAAGTGGAGTCCTTCTTTTGAAATCCTTTATTTTATTGTCATATTTGTTGGAATATGATTACCTAATGCTTCCTTATAGTTGCCAGTTTAGCAGAATATGACTTTATTCCAGGGGCTTACAAGAAGAGCTTTAATTACAGTCACAAATCAGCATTTTAGTATTACCACTCAAATGAGTATCTGCACATCTGTTTAGGACTTTGAGCTCTGCCTTCCTCTCAGGCCTTGTATGAGACTTTCATTAATGCTTGAGCACATGGAACAAAGAATGTGTATGTCCCTTTGTGTTGTAAGTTACTAGAAAGTTAGGCCCCCTGCTTCCCATAAACATGTGCTTGTCTTCTTAAGGAAAGCGATTGTCATCATCAAGTTTTAGAAAAGAAAATCTACCTCTTTCAGTATTCTTTTATTTAGTTCTTTCACATAATAAATACATTGGGGTGCTGTTAAAGTTTATTATGATTTTTCACTATCATAGAGGCACTTGGACATTAGTGAGGAAAAACTTATATTGAGTTTTCTTTGTGTATTTTATGCCATTGTTCCGTGGAGCCTTATGACAGACATAGTAATATTCTACCAAAAAGGTCATGCTGCTGTCTTTGATTCACACCTTCCCAAGTCATTCCCCACAGCTGTTTGTAAAATTTGAAAATGGAGAAACCTACATAATTATACCATTTGTTCAGGAACATTCATTTTTCATGCTTTAGCATTACGATGTGTTGTGTAAGTCTTCATAAAGTTCATCTGGCCTCTAGAAGTCACTCATGTAAAGTGAACTCAAGATGGCAGACTTTGTTCAAAATTTTCTTCTTATTAAAAAAAAAAAAAACCAGGCACTGAAATTCTGAGAGGCTTAGTTAGGTTCATGTACATGGTATTAGAGTGATTTCATACAAGAGTCAGAGTTCACTGAGTCAGAACTGTGGTATCTCTTAGCTGGTGATCAGCTTCTATCAGACGCAGTCCTATGAAACAAGCTGAATGCAAGATGTTTGCAAAAAAAGAGAGGGCGGGCACAATAAAACTAGGAAAAGGTACTGCTGACAAAGAGACTGATGGTAAAAAAAGGTGCCACAGACTAATATGTGAACACACATTAAGAGTAGTTTTGAGAAGAAACAATAATGAACTGTTATATTGAAGGAAAGAATGAAATTACATTCTGTTCAATGTGATGAAAACAACAGTTACAAAACCAGACTTCACTGGTTGACCTGAACTGAGAGGTCCATGAGATTGGGACCCTTCACTGGTATTCTAGCATCACCTACATAGTATCTAGCACGAGTAGGCTCCCAATATAAATGGCTGTCTAAATCAATCGACCCACCAGTGAACCAGTCAGTCCATCTGAAAATTTTTCTTGTGTGGAGAAACGCTTTATTCAATGATGCCAGGTAAATAAAGGTTTGCTCTAATAAAGCTAGTTATTAAATGATGATAGACATCGCTTAATGCTGTTGCAGCCTTTTCCCTAGACCTTCCATTTACATTTGAAACTATTTCATAATCCTCTATCAATCATCTGTTTTAACCTCAGATTAAATTCTGATACCGAAAGTACTTCCTACAATCATAACAACAACCAATATTTATTAAGCATTTATATGCCAGGGAACTCTTTTTTCAGGTACTAATAAATGAAAGTGCTTTTCATACATTAATGAATTTACTGTTTCCTTAGTATGAGGTGGATACTATTATTTTCCAATATACAGAGCTAGAAACAGAGGCACAGAAAAGTTGCGTACCTTGGCCAAAGCCACACAACAGACATTATTTCTCTTCCAAAAGAGCTTTTAAAAGATGTATTGTGTAATCTTAATATTATAACCATTCAGGGAAAAAAAAACTGTGATAGGATTTGTATTTATCTTGTAGATATTACATGATGTGGGTATTTAAAAATGAAATGTTTCAAAGATCTCATTGCATAACCAGAGCCTTTTAAGGCCAGTTTATTGAAAAGAATTGCTTTCCATTAGAAGAGTATGAGCTACACCCCATTGTTACAAACATATTGTTCCCATCATTCCCTGTTGATGGATCATGGGTCTATTATTATAATATTGGTTCTACTTGGCCCACTTTTTCATACATGCAGCTGCCTCATGGAGCATGTGCCTTTGTACCATCATGTATGTTGGTTTTAGGCCCAGAGCAGTAAACTTTATAGTGTTCAAGTGCCTTTGTTTAATTGTTTTATTTTTCTTTTCTAATTTACTTTCCAAAAATAAATGTAGACCAATGAAATCAAAAAAGAAACACAATAATTTTTTTTGGTGGGGGGTAGGGGTTGGTTCCAATGTCAGGTAAAGTGGAGAGAGTGAGAAATGCATGGTTAGGGCTGCTCTGGCCTGTTCAGCACTATTTCTGTGTGTTGTGGGGAAGATTCAAAGCTGGCTGACCATATCAGAAGCTGAAATCGGCCTGGAAGGTGATGGATAAAATATAAGCAAACACGTTCCTGGGAATGTCCTTGTTTTTGTGTGTCGTGAATTAGGTTTTTAAATTTGACTATGAATATTGTATGCCTGAAAGTGTACACAGATGTATATAGTGCAGAAGGCATTGCTTGTCTTTTGGAATCATCTATTGTAGACGTGGAAATGTCTCATAAATTGGGCCTAATTTTCAGCAGGCTCTTGACCAGACATTTGTGTTCATGTGGATGTCAGTGGGTGCAACATGGGGAAAAAAAAAGAGTGCACATTCTCTCTTTCTTTTCAGCACTGTCATTTCTCACTGTAATGAGCACGAAAATAATTGGACAACTGAGCTATCAGTAAAAGGACACACTTCAGTGTGCGTCAAAGAATTATTTTACAGGACAAACTTTAATCTTTAAATGTGATTGTAGATAATTTGTGGTACCATCTGTCCATTTGGAATTGTTTTAGCCTTTTCTGTCGTTATACAGTAAGTGCCGCTGTGTTTAACATTAACATTTGATATTTTACACATTTAATTTCTGTTCTGCTGTGTGGTCCTTAGGGAACAGAGTGCTAGTGCTACATGAGAAAGACAAAGTATTGATCAGTTAACATTTCAGCTACATTTATGTATGTCGCAAAATTAATGAAAATGCCAGACAAAAATGTCAGAGTGCACAAAAAGGTAGAATTTAAATTTGGTAGTTTAATGAAAAGTTTAAGATGTGCATTATCAAAAATGTCCTCTTGCCTTTAAAGTACAATTCCTAACAGAATAACTACAGGGAGACACATATTTTACTTAGAGGAACAATGAACATGAATTATGAAGAGATGTCAACTCCGCAAAGTACCTTGTGTTCCAAAACGGCATGTTTCAATGTTGAACTGTTACTTATAAGATGCATTTGTTTCTGTTGGTATCCGGAGGGCTACAGGCTTCAATCCTCTGTACTGACCATCCTCCGAGGCAGGCTTCCTACTTAGATTCTCTCCTTAGGTTTTCCTTGGTGTCCCATGTGTTCCTTTTGTTTCAGAACTGAGAGTTCCCTCTACAGCAATTCACTGAGGCCACTCTGGTTCGTTACTCTTTCCTTTCGGGGTCCTTTCAAATGCCTGGTTTTCCTTTGCTTCCCAATAATTTGTGCTCCACCTTCATTCAATCCCCATTTTAGTCAAGGAGCACACTCAGGCAACAGCTACTCTCAGAAAAGCTGGGCATTATGCAGGAAAAGAGAAAAAACAGAGATGATGTATGCAAAGAATGACACGAGGCAGCTCTGTGTAGCCAAATGATTAAAAAATATATATATATATATAAAAAAAAAAAAAAAAATATATATATATATATGGAGGAAGCACAAGCCAAGGAGGAGAACTGAACTTGCAGAGGCGATGGGATACAATACAACAATCTGAAGACAACAGGCTCTCAAGGATACCTTATCAAGTACTCCATGGGTAAAAAGCCTGCTGCTATTAGACAGAATATGGATTTTTTTAAAGTTATTACAAGCAATAAGGACAGTTTAAGTGACCTTCCATATTCAAGGACTAAAAAAGGGAGCATTGCTTACAGAGAAATATCAATGTGAAAACAAAAGCATGTCTGCGTCACCTGTAGTTCAAGTCTTCACATTCACATTGCTGAACAATACAGGGTAATCGTACTACCTGTGGAAAGTAGCTTTAAGCTCCAACACAAATTTCTATTTTAAAAATTTCAGAGACATCAGTAATACCACACCAACAAAATTATGCTTCTAGTCCATGGCCATTTTCAAATGATTTTTATAGAAGCTCTTTGTTGTTATTGTTGCTACAATTTTATTTTAGTG